AATTTTTCAAATCAACATTTACATACTATTGGAAAACAGTTAGACCGGATAGAAATTTCTGTCCAAAATAGTTTTCCATCTTTTTCAATATCCACTTCAAAAAGAGACCTAAAACCCCCTCTTTTTAAAAATTTTGAGATTCCAAAAAATCCCAGTCTTGAATTTGCTAAAGCCTTGGAAGATAGGAAAAAACTCCTTAAAGGAAAAGCAGTTTTAATTCCTAAAAATCCTATAATTTTGGATACTCCTTTAATACAGAACTTGAGTGTCAAAGATACTCCTGATCATATTGAACCTTCCAATCAGATCAATCTTTTGGATAAATCTGATACTGAATCCATTCCTGAGGTAAATCGTATCACCTGAAGGATCCCCAAAAATTATATTATTCTCGTGCCACTCCTCCCGATATTCTTACAGAAGAAACGTTTTCAAAAGTACAAAATAAATATTCTTTTGATGTTATTTATGAATGGAACATAGATGGTGTTTCTGAGCAAAACCTCATAAACATTTTAACCCAAATGGTTATGCTTGCTAACACTTATAAAACCATTCCTGACACTTCCAATCACTCTGTTGCATATCTTTTAATAGCCGGATTTATAGGCCAACTCAAAGGATGGTGGGATAACTACCTGAATGAAGAAAAAAGATCTAAAATTTTAAATGCCTATAAACTCGACCCTTTTGGTCAAAATATTCTTGACGAAGATAATCAACCCATCCAAGATGCTGTTAATACTTTGATATTCTCTATATCCCAACATTTTCTAGGAGATTCTTCTCATATCCTTGATAAAAACCAAGATCTTTTATCCAATATGAAATGTAGGTCTTTAGGAGAATTCCGAGAATATAAAGAAATATTTTTGCAAAGAGTTTTCTAAAGGGCAGACTGCAACCAGTCTTTTTGGAAAGAAAAATTTCTTGCTGATTTACCAAAACTCATAGGGGAACAAGTTCGTGGTAAGATAAGAGAAGAATATGGAAATCAAATTCCATATGACCATCTTTCTTATGGAGAACTAACCTCTTATGTTTATAAAATAGGAACACAATTGTGCGCTAATATTCGTCTCCAAAAACAAATCAAGAAAGAACAAAAACTTTCTAAAAAAGGATTAGGAGATTTTTGTGCCCAATATGATCCATCTTTTGAATCTTTTGAAAAACCCAAATGTTCAGGAAAATGTCTTTCTAAACAAAAGGATCAAAAGAAATTTTATAAGAAACCTTACAAGAAGAAATTTGATAAAAAGCATTCTAAAAGGAAAGAAAATGATAGTTTTGATAAAACCAAAAAACCTAAAAGAAATTTTAAAAATATCACTTGCTATAATTGTGGTAAGAAAGGCCACATTTCTCGATTTTGTAAAATTAGTAAAAAGATTAATGAGTTAGATCTAGATGAAGAAACTATCAATCAGCTCAACCAATTAATGGCTGAAGCTGACAGTAGTTCTTCTGATGAGTCTAGCTTTGAAAAGGGATTGCAGATTTGTGATTTAGAAACCTCTTCATCATCAACTTCAGATAGTGAAGGTGAAGACGTTACCAGTTTTGAAATAAATGTTTTGACAAAAGAAGAAGAAATTCTTTTGCAAACGATTGATCAGATCACTGATCCTGAAACAAAAATAAAATATTTGAATAGTTTCCAAAACCCCAAGCCAATTTCTAAATCTACTCTCCAAACTGACAATCCTTATAATATTTCTACTATTCTTGGCAAGGCTAAGAATACTAGTTTCAAACCCATTTCTATAAGTGATCTTACTCACGAAATCAATAAACAAAAAGAAGAAATACAAAATCTCAAAGCTACCCAGATAATTATGCAAAAAGACATTTTAGTTATTAAAATGAAAAATTTAAAAGGCAAACAAAAGGAAGAAGATTTTGAAGAAAATAATGTTCCTCAACTCACTTCTTCTTCTTATACAAACTTCCTTTTGATGCTTTCTGAAATAACTACCAAAAAATGGATTATCAATATTTCCATAAGAATCCAAAATGAAATTGTTTTAGAAACAACGGCCCTTTTTGATACTGGTGCAGACCTTAATTGTATAAAGGAAGGTCATATACCAACCAAATATTTTGAGAAAACTTCCCAATCTCTCAAATTAGCATCCGGAGATAAGCTAATTATAAATTACAAGATTCCTGAAGCTGAAATTGTGAGAACTCCATTTCTTCTTGTTAGAAATATCAAACAAAATGTTATTTTAGGATCACCTTTTATCAATTTACTCCAGCCGTTTAAAGTTTCTGAAAAGGGAATCGAAACAGAAACCTTAGGCAAAAGAATATATTTTAATTTCATTTCAAAACCCCAAACCAGAAATTTGAATACTCTTCAAGAACATTCCATCTCTGAGATTAATTGTATAATCCAAGACAAAGAGACTCGTCTTCAGTTTCTTAAAGAAGATCTTGAATACAAAAGGATTGACAAAAATCTTTCTGAAACAAGTCTTCAGAAAAAGATTTCTAATCTTGAAAATCAAATCAAAGATTCCATATGTTCTAATATTCCCAATACTTTCTGGTCGCGTAAGTGTCACATAGTTGACCTGCCATATGAACCAGGTTTTTTAGAAAAAGACATTCCTACTAAAGCTAGACCTTCTCAAATGAATCACGAAGTTCTAAATTTTTGTCAAAAAGAAATATAGGAACTTTTTGAGAAAAAGCTTATTAGGAAAAGCCAATCACCTTGGAATTGCTCTGCTTTCTATGTCAACAAAAATGCTGAACTAGAAAGAGGAGTTCCAAGATTGGTAATAAATTATAAACCTTTGAATACAGCTTTAAAATGGATAAGATATCCAATTCCTAACAAAAAGGATTTGTTAAATAGACTTTATGATGCAAAAATCTTTTCAAATTTTGATATGAAGTCGGGCTTCTGGCAAATTCAAATTAGCGAAAAGGATAGGTACAAAACAGCTTTTACCGTTCCTTTTGGCCAATATGAATGGAATGTCATGCCTTTTAGTTTGAAAAATGCCCCTTCTGAATTCCAAAGGATTATGAATGATATTTTTAACCATTGTACTGATTACATTATAGTCTACATAGATGATGTTCTAATATTTTCTACATCCATAGAAAAACATTTTAGACACATTAGTCATTTTATTAATATTGTGAAAAAGAATGGTTTAGTAGTTTCACCTACTAAAATATCCCTTTTTAAAACAAAAATCCGTTTTCTAGGACACTACATTCATCATGGAACTATCATACCTATTGAAAGATCAATAACATTTTCTGAAAAATTTCCTGATGAAATCAGAGACAAAAATCAATTGCAAAGATTTCTAGGAAGTTTAAATTATATTATTGAATTCTTCCCTCGCATCAATATAATTTGCAAACCACTCCATCAGAGGCTCAAGAAAGATCCTCCACCATGGACTCAGATTCATACTGATATTGTAAAACAGATCAAGCGGACTGTCAAGGAAATTCCTTGTTTACATCTTGCTGATCCTTTTGCCTTCAAAATTGTTGAAACTGATGCTTCTGATATTGGATATGGAGGAATTCTTAAACAATCCAAAGACAATAAAGAACAAATTGTTCAATTTGTCTCCAAGCACTAGAATGATTGTCAAAAGAATTACTCCACCATTAAGAAAGAAATTCTTGCTATTGTACTTTCTATTTCTAAATTTCAAGGAGATCTTTTGAATCAAAAATTCTTATTACGAATTGATTGCAAATCTGCAAAAGATGTTTTGCAGAAAGACGTTCAAAATATTGCTTCCAAACAGATTTTCGCCAGATGGCAAGCCATTTTATCTGTCTTTGATTTTGATATAGAATTTATAAATGGTTCTTCAAATTCTCTCTCAGATTTTCTCACACGAGAATTTTTACAGGGAAAATGCCTCCCAAGCCACCCAACAAACCAACAAGAAGAGATAAAGGCAAAGAAATTGCCGAAGCATCCTCAGAGAAAAAATCCTCATCTCCTGGCTTAACCAACATAAGAACCTGGCTGCAGGCAACTACCTTTAAATACCACTATAATTTCTACCCAGGCTAAACCAGATCTTGAATTATCATTAAGACCCCCTTTTTATATTACTAAAATTTCTCATGAAGAAGCTTTACAGCTCCTCCAAAAGGCCTTCAATAGTCAGACACAACCATCAATAGCACTAGTAAGTCCTGACCCTTCTCCCATTGCTAATCAAAAGCAAATGGGAAAAAGAATTTCTAGTGAGGTGGTTATTCAACCTACTCAGACAACCCCTCCTGAACCTAAATCAAAATTTTTTCCTAAAACAAATTATGATAACAATTGTAATATTGAAAACGGTTTTTATGATGAAAACCTTTATGTCTTTGCCAAAAACATGTTTTCAGAAAAAAAAATTATATACTCCTTATGACATTTACAAAACTGTTGAATTTTATGAGAGAATTTTGACAGAAACAGAATCTGTCTCTTTTAAACATTTCTCAGACAAAGGACATATAAATTACTCTAAAGCCATATTACACAAGGTCATCCACCCTCGAGACTGGAAATCCAGTCCACTGGCTATGAGAAAATTTAATGTCAAAATGGCTGACTCCCTTCCATACAGATCATCCTTTTCATATTTTGACTACCGACAAGCATGGTGGAGTACCTTCTGGAGACAAAATCCCAATAACTCCCATACTTGGCTTTTCTACTTTGAAAATCTTGATATCAAAGGAATCCCTTATTGGTTCTTTAAATGGTGGGAACAACTCGGACCCACTGATGAAATCCTTCATACTAGAGTTCAACCCAGTTACGAACTCTTCCTCAGCAAATTCAATCCACACCCCTTTGAAGAAATCTTTCCTAGACTCATGCTCTTTTTCTACTTCTTCGGAGTATCTTGGGTTCTTGGATGGACTCTTGATTATAGGAAAGCACCCGTAACAGGCATCCCTATTTTAATACGACGATTCAAAGTCAAATGGTGGGATGGTTTCAAATTCTTTGATAGAGTTTCTATGAATGCCGTCAACAAATGGCTCATTGCTAGACAATCTCCTCCCGGTTGTCCTCCTCCTCCTGGGGAAATCACCCCTTTCCTGCATGACAAAGGTTTCGTTCTTTCTAAATTAGCCTCAGCTCAATCACACCAGCAACTAGACGGAATATTGAAGCAGGCTCTTTCTGAAATTGAAGACTTTGGATCTTCTCACTCTCATCACAGTGGGAATTCCAATGAAGATGGCTGCTATAGAATCCTCCCAAGAATCCAATGTGGAGACGTAGCAGAACAGGAAGAAGAAGACGAAGAGGCAGAAGATTTGTCCAAACCATGATATCCGGTGCCGAAAGACTCCTACCATTTTCATCATTTCTAAGCCGAAAGGAGCCTGCCAGTCTTTTCCTTTTTCAAAACTTTCATAATTATGTCAGAATACTGTTCACTGTAAACACTGTGCACTTCTACTATTTGATACAGTACTACCCGTGAACTATTTCTATAGGAACTCAGATTGCTTATAAAATCGGACCTCACTCATTTGAAGAGCACACCTTTCGGAATCCCTTTAGAACCTCTTCGGGCCTTTTCTCAAAAAACCATCTCCAGTATTTCTAATTCTCTCCAAACCTTCTTCGAAGGAATAAGAGATCATTCATCTCAAAACCTTTATATAACTTTCCATACCTAGTAAGTTTCTGATCCCTGTAAAGATCTTGTCCCATATTTTCAAGATCTTTCAAAACCTTTTCTAGTTCTTATAGCGTAGAAAATCTTATCGTTCTAGACTACCAATAGTCTAAGTAACGGAAGAATTTCTACCAAAGAAATTTTCTTACTTCTGCACTTATACTTCAATATCTACATTCTGTAACCTTACAATACCGTTGTTGTAATCTTTCCATTATATAACAATTATCTTCTTCCAATTCCTTTCATACATTTACATACCCCACAAACGGCAGGTCGAACCGCCTGTGGATGGTTTGTATTTTACTTTAAAAGCAATTGTCTGCATTTGTTATATATCCTTACTTCTTCTTACCGTTTTGCCCTTTTCATTCCTGCTTAACAATACCACCTACATGGTTGGTTTAGACGTTCTAGCAATTCTTCTTCTCGTTATATATATTGCTTACGGCTTCTTTATTATTTTTAATGCTTGTGCTTTTATTTAATTTTATTTATTTAATAATTTTCTGTGCAGAAATCTGCATTTTTATATTAGAATACATTTTCGCTGTTGCTAGATCTAGAGACATATCCGAAATCCCTTATCTATTTTCTCAATATATTGAATATTTTGAATATCTAGAACATCATTTAAAAATTACATATGTCATTATTGCTCTTATCTTTTTATTACAATTTCCCATCTTCCTTTCTAATAAACGTAAAAGAACCAATTAGATATAATATATATATATATATATATATATATATATGTGTGTGTGTGTGTGTGTGTAAACGAGAGACTATCATTTTTCCCTTCTCTCTCTATAGCCGGCCACCACCCCTCACATCATTACCATACTTTTCTTCCATTTTTACCCCTCAAGTGTGCATGAATGGTGTCAAAGTGCCTGCAAAGATATGGTAGAAACCCAATTTGAAAAGCAAACCCTCATTTCTCTCCCCCTCTCGCTCTCAGCCGAACTCTCTCTCTCCCTCTTCCTCAAATTTTCTTCTCATTTTTTTCCTCTCAAACTCAAGCAAGATTTCGACCCAAAAAAAAAAAACTCAAGCAAGATTGAAGCTTTTTGCTTCGTTTTCAAGGCTAGGCAAGTGAAATTTCTAAAAGCTACTCTATGTGATCTTCTCATTACTTGGTTTAGACATGGTTTTAGACTTGTGGCTTGTGAATTTCGGCTCTTGTAGGCGAGATAGACTAAGTGTGTTCTTGGTTTTGTGGCTTGTGATTTGAGTAAGCGCGGCCCATGCATGTGTAGTTTTCAGCTTGCTCGTGTAGAGAAGATGGTGTCGCACATTGGTAATGTCTTTCTAGTTCAAATTTGTAATTGCATGTTGAATTAGAGAAAATACGAGCTGAAAATTTCTTAGACATGTTGAAATCTTCAATATGCGTGCTGAAGGTTGCGGTATTGGCAAAGCTATATGCTGGAAATTTCATTGTATGTTGCAATTGTTAGATAATAAGCTGGAATTGAGTTACATGAGCTGAAATTGATAGTATGTCCGCTAGAAGTTGAGGTTTCGGTGAGATAGTGTGCTGGAAATTGCTGTTTTGAGCTGTATGTTGCTGTTTCATGCTGTAATTGGTCAAATGCTTGCTGGAATTGCGGTTTTTAGTAAGAAAGCATGCTGGAATTTTCGGTTCTATGCTGTATTTAGTGGTTAGTGAGTTAATATTGATTGAAACATGTTGCAATGAAGTGTATGCTTGCTTGAAGTTTTGGTTTAGGGGTAAATTGCATGCTGGAAATGACTGCAAAGTGATGAAAATATCGAAATGGCTTACTGTATTTTCTGTCGTGCATGGAAATTGAATGATGGCATGTCGAGACACTATGTAATATGTTGGAAAAGGTAGTGATTGATCAAATACTTGTTACAAGTGATTGTAGTCCACTGCAATGTTGAGATTGTTGATGTCATGTAGCATATTGCATAAGAACATGCCTGCAAGTGTGTGAAATTAAGAGATGTGAAAAGATGTCTATCGATCAGTGGATCGATAATGCCCCGGGTGTTTGGGATGCCCCTGCTGTGTGGTCATGGATGCCTTGGTCAAAGAACCGAGATGCCTTAGGAGTTGAAATGCCCAAGTAAATAAATCTTGGAAGTCCGGTAAGTGGACCGAAAGTGACCCGTGCGGGCTGGGCAGAGAACCGGCGGATACCGCGATGTCGAGGTGGAAAAGATTGAGAATAACTAATGAAACAAGGCTGCGTGAGAACGTGTGATTGCATGGCATACCTTGTTTGCAAGTTGCATCTATATCTTTTAAATGCTTGACTCATATATGTTATAGTCTTTACTTGTTTGTCTGGATGCATTGTCTAACCTTGTAGGGATAACTATTAGTGTTCTTGAGTTATTGTTAATCATATGTGTCTAGTATATAAATGCGATTGCATTGTTAGAACCGTTATTAGAAGTTGTTTGTCTTGAACATACCTTTTTTTATCAAGAAGTGAGTGGATCGTGTAGTGTAGAGTTTAGATGTTTCTTTTGCTGGGCATTACTCACTCTTGTTTTTCGGATTCTTAGCATGGATATCCCGCTGCTAGCTCGCCATGGAGCACCCGTTCATTTCGAGAGTTCGCTACAAGATGTGACATTTCCGGGATCGACCATGCTTTATACTCTTTATATGTCTACTTTGTGGATTAATGTGGGGCGTATGCCGTTGGTGCCATATCACTTTGTAACTTGGTATATTAACCGTAATGGAGAGTTGTTGGGACCTTTGCGTTTTGTGGATGACACCAGTAGTGATGATAGCGATCCGGAGGAGTGTAGCGACTCAGAGGAGTAGATGGCATGGCCGTGTTGATGAATATATATGTATATAGTGTCTATATATAATTAGACATGTTTTTGGTTATGGTATGCCAGCACATAAAAGGGTTAGACAACTTTTTGGACCCCCTCCCAAGCGTAAGTGGTGTTGCCCTTTGATGTATGTAATGTAGTCTTCTGGCGTACGGGATGTTGGTGATCTAAGATGCATATATGTGTAAATAACTCATATATATGGTTTCTAGCCAAAAAATCTTATATATATGGTTATGAAAAGAAGGTGGTATGCTTATGTGTATGAATTTCGCGTATTCGCCTTTGATATATTCGTTTTGTGTCTTGAAATAACTTCTGCATGCGCCAATTAAGATCGTAAAGAAGATTAAAGAAACACGAGTTAGGAAGTAGCGCGCCTAGGATATGTGAGCACAAGGACGTGACTTTCATGATTTCCCATTTCTTTGCCTCTTGAGAGAGAATAGAGTTCGACAAAAAAAAAAGAGAGAAGAAATAAAAGAAAGAAGATTAAGGAAAGTGAATGTGAGACCTACAAGAAAAGAAATCGGAAGTTAATATAAAAAAATGGACAAAGGGATGCTAAAAAGTAGTACCTACAAAGGGCAATATTATCATAACGCTGTGTTAAAGAGTGTTTTAGCCGTGAAGAGAGTGGAAAAAGTGTGATCCCTTTACTTTATTTTAATTTTCCTTTGTGTTTATATTCGAATGTGGCGGGGCATTATAATCCTTTCACGGGATAGAAACGACAGGCATCTAGACCATCTAATGATTATCGACAACGATGAATTCATAATATAAGCCATTAAACATTTAACAAATCAAATAAATATAAAATTATCGAATCAATCCTAATCTATAGTATAGATATCAATTTAATTTTAAAATTTTTAATTATGTCAGCTTAGTCTAATAATTTGGCGTGAAATTTCAATATAGTCTTTCTGGCCAGTTCTAGCAAGCAATCAAACAAGTACAATTATACTCAAAGCAATTTATTTTGCATTTTTTTTCGTTTTTCTACTTTTCTTTTCCTTTCCTTTGTTTTTCCCCTTTTTTTTAATGTTCATCATCTTCTTCACCAGACAATTCTGAAGGCCTTCGAGATCTTGGCCAAAATTAACGACCTTGCGGCATCGAGCTCAAGAGCCACCGCGGCATCGAGCTCCCGCCCTAGATCTAGCAACTCGAGCTGCGCCGCAGCATGTAGAGATGATTGCTCTAACCCCATGGATTCACTCGTAACATTGGCCAAGACGCTGGCATTAATTGAAGAGGTGAAAGTTTGGTACCTGGCCTTCTCGACTCACAATCGCACCCCCTTGGAGAGCTTCGGTTTGCTTCTTTTTCTAAATTTGTAGTTGCTTTCACATTTTTCTCATTGCCATAAGTTGAGAACATGCAGTGCCGGATATGATGAGAATGTCACGGATTTTGAGGAGCTCCGAGCTCAAAGTTGGTGGATCACAACGAGCCCAGTCAAGCCAATTTTGCCGCTGCCGGAGCCAAATTGGGTGGAGGCGCAAGAAAACGAGGCGAACAGCCACTCCTGCTCCACGGCCGTCGGGCTTGTAGCCATCATGATCTTGACGAACTCAATGGCCATGGCCACACTGCCATATCTAGAGATTCAGCGGCTCACCATCAAGAATAGATCTGGATTGGTTGCCATTGACAACCCTACGGTCACCGTGATCACCGGCAACCTCAGAAGAAGATTGAGCCGCCTTGGACGATGAAGAGGAGCTCTCTAGGGAAGAAGATGAACAGTAGTGTGGAAAAAGACAATCGGAATACTTCATACCAAACATATTAAGTCCCCTCGTACCAAAGATA